CCTACACACACACACCACACTCATAAAAAACCAACTATTTAAAATAAATTCCTTACCTTCTTTTTTCCTTTTTCGACCTCAAACCACCCCTGTCAAAACAGGTACGCATACATTTGTTTCAAGACTGCCAAGGAAAAGCTCCTATATCCACGTTTTGCATAGTTTTTCTACTCTATTTTTCCCAGTAAAGTATTTGAGTGCATGCATCCTTGGGGACTAATTAGAAGCAGGAGACGAAAACGAGTCAGCGAGAGGTTGAATTAAGACAAGCGCATCGACGCCATAACGGTCATATAGTGCAGAGGAATAAACGAGGCAGAAAAACAAATTATTTCTTTAAAAGGGTAAGAGAAATGCATGGCCCAGCAGTGGCACTCACCAAACACCCGACCCATGCGAGGTGCCCAAAGAGGAGAGTTTTTTTTAATTAAGAAAAAATACAACCGTTGCCTTTTTAATGAAACGAAGACCAATTGCAGATACTAGAAAGACTGCGATCGTGAGCGCTTGAGTTGTCCTCGCGCACTGACCACTCTTGACACGACAAAACCCGCAGATCGCCACTGTCCGAGCTCCGGACCTCCGAGATAATCCGACAATCCGGATAAAATCCTCGGGCTGTCCATTAAACCGAGTACTAAAACCTGGTTGTCCATTAAACCGATAACACTAAACTGGTTTATGATGAGTGTCGGACATTTTATCGCTTGTACTGTGACAGTATTCGGCGTCTTCTTGTGCAATAATGTTATTTGTCAGCTTGCTCTGGCTCGCTGGGATGTTGTTTATATCTTTCTACCTTTTATGGTGCCTGATGGGTAGCGTGGTTGGGCCAGTAACTGAGTCAGCTATACCGTGTTGGACAACACTACGGATGATCATGATTTAAATCTCAAATAATTGGGCTTTCTCGAGCAAAGCATTTTAAAAGAATTGAATTTGAATTTTCATAGCTCGTAGAAAACTGCAGTACATGGTCATGTTTCAAATCCCCAACTGGAATTTAGTGATCCGGGCATACTTGAAGCGTTATGGCCTTCGGTTTTCTTAGCAAAATTTGTATTCCTTTGTTATGAAAAAGACATTCATTCATTCATTCATTCATTCATTCATTCATTCATTCATTCATTCATTCATTCTTTATTTCTGTCTTTCTTGTTTTTTTCTTTCTTTCTTTCTTTCTTTTGTTTATTTGTTTATTTGTTGTTGGGGGGAGAGGGGAGGGTACACGTTAAAGTGGGAGGTCTCGACTCTTAAATAACCTTTCAGTTTGAGGGAGGTTTTGAAAACAGTAAATGACAATCACTGTGCCAGTTTAGTCTCCTATCACCAACAGCACAGATTTTAAACAATAATACAGCCCCACAAATTTTGTGCTGACTATTCTCGTCTTGTCTTGGCATACAAGACACCTGCCCTCAGTTTTGAGTTTTATGGGAGTTGAGCTCTAATCCGCCTCGTTTTGAGTTCACGGTTGGCTGGGGAGGATTAAGGCGAGGGTTAATTTGACAGGCCTCAGGCTCGAGGGCCAGTAAGACATGACTGATGAGTGAGGGAGGAAATTTTGGCGTCTCGGTTTTGGGGGAAAAGGGGGGGGGGATGGGTAGGGACATAGAGAGTGTGGAAGATGGGAAAGATAGAGAGGGAAGGAGGGAGGGGGAACAGGAGAATGAGGGGAGGAGTTATGGAGGGGAAAGAAGAAGAA